TCGTAGCACCACACTACAACTCGTCAAAGAGGCAAGTGAATCAACACGAGGTTGACAAACTGGATTGCTCGGGAGTTAACAGCATCAAATGCGGCAACTGTGAACAGAAATATATTGGTAAAACAGGAACAAAAATCTGCCCACGAATGTAAAAAGACCAAACACTCAGCAGAAACATGGATAGTAAAGGATGCGAAATAGAGGAACATATCGCACTGACGGGAAAGGAAATCGAGTAAAAATCGACAGAAGCGCTGGCTACATATGGTGAAAATTCGAAAAAACGCAAGATACGAGAAGCCATCGATATCCTGAACGAAATAAATCCAATGAACGGGAGACGTGAGGTAGACAGAATTAGCGAAAATCTTACATACTGCCTTAGTAAACTCAGAGAAGATCAAGGAACAACAAGTCCACAGTCTGACTCTGGAAATTATCATGCATATACTGTTCTCTGCACAAGTTGCATTCCTCTAAGTCGTCCTGACAATACGACCAAGTTGCGACCAAGGTCAACTCGGATAAGATCAGGGAACAGCAATATCATCAAAAAGAAGACGACTGGAAAAAGGAAATATTTTAAATTTTAGGAAAAGAAATTATAAGGAGACTGGAGAGGAACAATCGGAAGCTAAGAGTAGACGTCTACAGTGAACCAATTCATATCAAGTAGAATTTGGAGATCGGCACGCAAGAGACTTGGGTATAAGAAAACCATAGATTTGTTATTAGAAATAGAAGAGCAAGAGAAACAGTGGTGATCATTGATAGTTAGCTATCAGTAGATTAGTTTGCTCATAGACCTGGACGATGAAGTAAAGGCTTGATCACGAGATTTACTAGGACATATGCGGCACAGTGATAAGGGAATCTGCAGTGTCAACTTAGGTTGTCATGCCAATTGACAATCCAGACTTTAGGGGCTTGCTCAATGAGGCTGATGCATATGTTTCATTAAAGGCTTGAGGCAGAGTGTAGAATATAACAGCTTGAGTAACACGGATACGGTGGCAGCGGAGTGTAATAACTGAAATAGGCAGATAAGGAAAGTATCCTACGGCGAAGGAAGGCGACTCGGATAGGACCCGAAGGGAGAGAATTGCCCATTAAAGCTCAACTTTAACTTTGGATCAACACTTACGGCACTGTAGAAGGGATGTGAATACAAGCGAAGATTGTGAATAAGTATCAAATAGGTTTAGATAAAAAAAATAAGAAATTGTGATAGTGAAGGGGTGATACGAGGATATAGGATAGGACAGGACTGTTTAGCAGACAAGTGGCCAAAGGATCGACTTCATTTATCTGTTTGACGAGTTGTAGTCTGTGCTAAGAAAGGTAAGGCTCACTGATGATGCCGACTTCGATTCCTGTGAAATGTCTGGGAATGTACCAAGTCCATAGTCCGACTCTGGAAATTACCATGCATACTATGAAATCCGGACAAGGTGCGTTCCTCTAGGTCTTCCTGTCAACATGACCAAGATGCGAAAACAAGGTGAAGCAAACTTATACTTGCATAACAATCGATTACATGCGAGGTCGAAACAGCAGTTAACTCTCTGGATGAGTTTTGTAAAGCAAGTCTATGTGAAATTCAATGGAAAATATCAGCTTTATTCATATTATTGTGGAAAAATTTTACTACCAGCCCTTCATCACATTAAATGAAATAGGGTGAACACAACTTTATATCTGAATTTCTGGCAGTCACTAAAACCTACTCATTTACGAAAAAATTAATGTCGTCGATTTATATATCAAATATAAATTTGCTTCATCGACAATCCTAAAAAGAATGTATTATGGAAAATGCCTGAAAATTCTTAAAATTCACATTTGGCCTGTGACCTATGGGCACTCTTGATAATGTGGAGTAGTGGTTAACGTGTCGAGCGTACACACTGCATTGTCATGGTTCCACATCCGCTTGAGGTATAGAAGTTGTTTGACCCTGTTTTCGCAACTTGGTCATATTACCAAGAAGACCTAGAGGAAAGCAAGTTATTCGGAGGTCATAGTAACCATGATCATTTCCAGTTTGTACATTCCCAGACCCGACCATACAAAAGGCCACATTATCTTGGCCTTCATACTTCCCGCTTGGGGTATTTATGAGACCTATGCGAGGTCGAAACTGCAGTCTACTCTGGATGAAAACAACTTTTGGGAAAGCAAGGCTCTCTGATATTCAATGAAACGTCAGCTCAATTCATATCATTGTTGGAAAATTCTACCACCAGTCCTCCATCACCTTAAATGAAATATGGTGAATACATCTTATGTACTTTAATTGTATTAATTAACTCTTACTTTTCCATGTATGTAGTTATCGATACTATTATTATCTTTGAGGGAGCAGGGTAGGGGAAATTCAGTGGTAACATGAGGCCTAATCATAGCATTGTGAGAAAATTCAGATATTAGCCCTTTATCACTTAATTGATCTAAGGTGGGCCACAGATCTCATTAAAAATCTGCTGGTAGCCTCGAAACCCACTAGCCATGGTATACAAGTGAGAGGCCACTGTTTGCAGATTTTAAGCTACATTTTTCAAGGAGGGTAGAGTTTGGTGCTGATGGCGATGTTAAACTCGGTTACTCGTGCTAACTGTAAACCAACTTGAGTCTAATCCTGGACGTTCGATAGCATAGGCCGACGCGTTATACCCTAAGCCACACGCCTATATGACGATTGAATTGTAGAGCAAATATGACGTCAATCAAAGGCCTTACACCAGCCTCACGAGATAGTAAACTCACCAGACATGCTGCGGAAAACCGCTTAGATGTCAATTGCTCAGAGTCACTTGCTGACCGAGTGTAGCTCAGGGTTTCCGATGTCCGAGGTTCGATGGCTGAAGGACTAACGGTGAAACCACCGTCTCCGTGGTCGTCGATCTGGCCATCCGCGGGGTCGCAAGAGCCCAGG